TTGTTGACTGACAGGACTGGATTCATGAGCCGTGAGCATGGACTTGGACAGCATTCAACAGCTGGTGATGTGCCCTTGTTTTGTAAGGGCACACCATTCATGACGGCAGAGTCTAAGTGGACTTTCTTCTTCTCTCTCCTTGGCAGCACAAGCTGGAGGGTGCTCTCTTGGCGCTGGGTCAGTTCCAGCACGCCCTGGACGAGCTCCTGGCGTGGATGGCGCACACAAAGGGCTTGCTGAGTGAACAGAAACCTGTTGGAGGAGACCCGAAGGCCATTGAAATTGAACTTGCCAAGCATCATGTACGTACTGTTAACCGCCTGTTTTTGTTATGTTTGAGTTTTTCAAGTTTATGATTTTAAGAGATTATTTGGCATTAAATTGCTTGACATGTGCTGCCTAAGAGAGTACAATAAAAATATTTCCTCACTGTGTGGGGCAACAGTTATCAAATGTAGCAAGGCTATGTTTTAATAGGGCTGCGTGGCAAACAGCAAAGATTTAAGTCCCTCATTATACCTGTCATTGAGTTAACTTCCCCGTATTTTTTAAGGTTAGGAATAGCCTAAAAAATTCCAGGCTGAAAATGCTGTTGTTCTATCGTGGCTTTTAATGCCTCTGGTCCCTGACCAACAGTGGCCTGCCAGAATGACTCTTCATAAAAACACAGTATTTTTGTTCTCATGGTGTGAGTGTATAGAAGCTTTTACGTCGTAGGAAATCTGGCAATTGTCTTAAACGTTGCCTACATCAGTGATCAGAACTGTGTGTAATAGAGGTAGGAAATAAGACACCCAATCCAGTTATTTAATCGAGAGATCTGTAGGAACCTTTGAACTCCGTTCATCTGACTAGTTAGACATAGCTCTTAGGCCTTTTTGCCCTTCATTTTTGAAAGATCAATATGTAGTGACTAAGGATTGCCCAAACCAACGCTAAAAGAAACTTTCTACCCTCTGCTTGGGGTCTCCCCCTGCCTCTGAGCGTCAGAGGAAGGAATCTTGTACAATTGTCCTGTAAATGTCGACCCTGGCAGTGTTTAACTCTCAGGCCCTGAGGAAGTGTTTCCTGATGTTACCATGTCAAAGTGCATGCTTTCTAGAATGTGACTCCTCACTCAGTTGGGCTTGTGCCTTTGGAAAACACTGACTCATCGGATACCTCAGAAACAGATTGAATAGTCAGAAAGGCAGTATTCCAGGGGCTGTCTCCCTTATCTGGAAAGCCTCCCGGGTCTGGACTCCCCTCCAGATGCATGATGTCTTGCATAGGATAAGAGATGACATTCTTTTCTTTATTACTGCCAAGCATACATCAGTGAGTGGTAGGGTAGGGCTCTACTGACCTCTTAACTAGCATAAGGGAGAGGACTCCTTTCAAATTAGTAGTCCCAGCATCCCTTCAATGAGAGAATAAAGGAATATATTTCTTCTTTCAAAACAGTTATTATGAAATATATGTCTAAAGTATGTGATAATTTTATATTTGGAAAATGAATATATAGGAGTAAAAATATCCCTTGAAACATTAAAATTAAATTAAAATGGACTTGAATCAATGAAAATGTTTTAATCATCTAATTATAATCACTACAAAAGTATGTAGTACATCAATTATAAGGCCATTCTAGTGAGAGTATCACACAGCATTTGTACAGTCTCTTTGGGGCTGCTGGTGTATCTAACTAAAGGTCTATTTATCTAGGGAGCCCCAAAATTGAAGGAAAGGAAGTCTGTCACTTTAAAACTTGCTATTGAAACTTTGTTTATGAGGTTTTTGTGTCAGACTGTTTCACAACCAGAAAATAAAGCAAGTCCGATGGACTAGAGGTGTAGTTCAGTTTGTAGGGTTTTTACCTAGTATGCGTGAAGAGTAGGTTTGATCCTTCAGCGGTGCCTCAAACTAGATGTGGTATTCCACGCCTGCATTCCCACACTTGGGAGGTGGAAAAAGGATTAGAAGTCTGAAGTCATCCTTTGCTATGTGTTGAGTTTAAGGTTTGCTTGGGATACACGAGACCCTCTCCCCACCCCACCCCACACCCTAAAAAGAAAAAGGAAAGCAAGCGTTGTAAGTGCCGTTACTGTGTTTCCAGCTAACGATCCTTTTAACATTTTCAGGTGCTCCAAAACGACGTGTTAGCCCACCAGTCCACCGTGGAAGCGGTCAACAAAGCAGGAAATGACCTCATTGCATCGAGTGCGGGAGAAGAAGCAAGCAACCTCCAGTACAAGCTCAAAATCTTAAATCAACGCTGGCAGGATATTTTGGAAAAAACCGATCGAAGGAAGCAGCAGCTGGATAGTGCCTTGCGCCAGGTGAATGAAGAGACTAAGCCTTAGGCTCGTTCTGGTGCTCAAGTCCAAAGTCATGTGGATTTGCTTCGCTAATTCACAGATGGGGGTTTCATGCTGATACTTTAAAGAGAGGAGTAAAACTAAGCGGGATAAAGAATAGAGCCGATGAGAAGATAGCGCTCCAGTTCTTAGCCTAATACTCTTATATCCTGAGCTCTCTTGACGGAGTGCTCAGGTGATGAGCCTCTGGTCCTGGTACCTGGCTTTCTTACTCCATGCAGAGAGAGGCTTAGCCGGCTGGGGCCATCTTGACCTTGTGATAGTGATAGTTCTGTGACACAAACTTAAAACTACCAATCACTGCAGGCCAAAGGGTTCCATGGTGAGATCGAAGATTTGCAACAGTGGCTGACTGACACAGAGCACCATCTCTTGGCATCCAAACCCCTGGGAGGTTTGCCAGAAACAGCCAAGGAGCAGCTTAACGCACATATGGTATGTACAGTGTTTTCTACAGCTCTTGCCCTGGTAATGCGTGAATAGTAACGGAAGAAGATACGGTTGAAAGATTAGGTTTTGTGGCAGAAATCGCTGTGTGTAAGTGCCAGAGATAGCACCATTTAGCAGTTAAAAAAAAAAAAAAAAAAAAAGATTTAAAAAAGTCTAGCAGTTTTGAGTAACACACATTCACTTTCTGTCTGTATGTCTGTCTATCTGTCTCTCTCTCTCTTACACACA